GCAACCTTTTTCTGAAAGTCTTACATTACAGGTAACCTGATGACCGGGAGGGTGGGCCATAGGCACGCATCTCAGCCTGCCTGCAGAGCCAAGGGGTGTGAGCTTGGGAGACCAAGACTGATATGCTGGGATCAATGGAACTGTCCCAGGAAGGGAACTGGCTGTTCCCCTTTCAAACACCACCTCCCTAATCTCTGCACTTGCTCAAGTCAAATTCTTCAAAGCTCTGAACTTGACACGAGGCTGGCATGATGAGGAAAGGCAAAGGAAGAATGCTCTCTGTAAATCACAAGTGGGGGCCGAGGGGACCCAACTCACGGACAGTTAACAATCAGAGTCAGAGCTGAGAGCTACTGCTTGGAATTATAGTTCCTTTAATCACAAGGAGAAAACAGTGTTTCTTAGTTTTTTTTTTTAGTTCCTACCACATGCTGAACATCATGCTGGGCACTTGGTCAGGGTGTCCCAGCCTACAGGACCTTAGAGTTGATGTCTTGACAATAATACAATGGCAAAAGTTATCCCATGTCCCAAGGACTGGGCCATTTGTTACCTCAGTGTGAGCGCACACACACCCCAAAGATTTTCCTGGTGTATGTACACAGAGAATACTGTGAAAAAGTCCCATATTCTGCTAGAATAGGTTGTAAAACAGCTCTTACACCGGCAGAGGTGTGTGAAGCCGATAGCAAGGATGGGTGACTTACACTACAAGTTCAGAGAGGCCTCATCATTAGAGGTGAGCGCAGAGAAAACATTCTGGCCCCTGAAGTGGTCCTTACCAGCGCTCTTGACCGTCAAGTAGGTGCCACGGAAAGCTTATCTTTTCCTCTGCAGCAGTTCGCAAAGCACTCTGTGTCAGTACAAAGGATTCTCTTTAGTGGCCATGGAGTATCGTACTGATGCGCCATAATTTATCCAACTCCTTCCCTACTAATAACTGATTACATTACTCAGAGTACTTCATCACAATAAACTCATCTGCTGCCTGGCAATAAGTGAGGCTCACTGTTATCCTTATTTAGCACCTAGAATACAGCAAAGCATCCTTATACATGAAGCATCAGATTAAAAATGAGGAATAAACGTAAAAAATTAATAGGTCCTCAAATCCAAAAAGGGTCCTTCTTTAGCCTGGCAAGGAGCTCCCACCTCTGCTTGGGCAGGCTGGGAAACCAGCACTGCCAGCCCATGGAGAGCCTGTTATCACCCTAGGCCATCTATTTATACTGAATCTGGATAGTGTATAGTATCACAGTCCCCTGGGGCTAAAGTATGCATGTGAATAGCCCGAAAGCATTAAGAACAAAAAGTAGTTGACATTGTACTTTTCACTCTCTCAGATTATTACCTATTATACAACTGTACCTTCAATAAAACCACGATGTTTATCATGAAACAATAAGATTCACATATACACTCAGTAAACACTTTTGTGCCAATGACTAGCCAGGTACCAAGAGGTACGTTTAATCATCAGCATCAGGAAAGTATTCACATCCCCATTTGTAGGCAAGGTTTAGAGAGATAAAATTGGGGGGAAAGTCCCATATTCTGCTAGTAAATTCCAGAAATGAAATCTGTCCTTACTTTTCTTGCCGTCTCCAAACCCCCATTCCTTCACCTGTTCTATGGCAGGTGGCACCCAGCCACAATACCAGCACTGCAGTGCCCTGAACAGTGGGCCTCCACCACCGTGCCAATTAAATTGTGGGAATTAAGACAGTCTGTAACTTAATCCTAAGTGTTGGTGTGTGAGAGAGAGAATTAGAAAATGTGGGAAAATGTCATATTTCACTTTATTTTGTTGTAAGAACTTTAAAATAAATACCATCTTATAGAACTGGAAACAATCATATTTGTACTTTAAAACACAGAAAAAAAACAGAAGGAAAAACGCATACATACTTTGAATAAATTAATTATATTTTGACACTAATTCTGAGTGTAAAACCAGAAAAATTAAATGGGGAAAACACGACGTGAAAGGATGACAAGTGATAAAATGGCACTAAGAAGATTGTTATTAAAAAATCCCCCAAAGACTATGCAGGCATCCAATGACAGCTGCTTCTGCGGCTTTCAGTTTGTGGACAGTTTTAAAATGTAGCATTTAATTTTGAAAAAGTGCTTTAAAAATCCACAGATGTCTAACAAATAGGCGCTATGTAATGTGGCACAAAAATATCTGCTCCAGCCCTCGGGCTTCAGGACATAAGATGCCAGCTCCCTGCCACACAGGGCCTGCCTATTCCTGCATGCGTCTGCCTTCCATCGGTAGGAGGACAGACCAGACTGGGAGTAAGGGGGCCAAGCTGCTTCTCCCTCCTTGGCTGGTTATTAGCCATAAGACCTTTACTTCTTGAAGTTTTCCCATGTAAGACACCAGGGGTAACAGACTGGGTTATGCAGCTCAACTACGATAGATGCCTGAGAAAATGCTTTTACAAATGCAAAGTCTGTATGAAGGCGAGGGTATGTACCTTGGCTCAAAGAATAAGACACTGGTATGTGCAAGACATAGATGCCTACAAATAAGAAATTACATCTTTTTCAGGTGATCTCAGGAGCTTTTCAGATAAGGATTCAAGGACCCTAGATTCAGCAGAAATGTACTTAGGCCTGAAATAAGCCTGGATGTCCACAAGAAAGAAATGCAATAAAACTATTAAATACCATGTGATACACCAAGTAGTATCTTTATTCTGTAAAAGCCACAACTGCAGAAAAATTCAAATGAAGTAAAGCTGCTTCACCAAAGTCAATTAGCAATGACAGACGAAACACTCAGAATCTAATTCCACTTAAAAACTTCTATGGTATCATCACCCTAGTAAAACATCTTCACCATCCTCGTCCGAGACACAGACTGAATTCTAGAAAGGTGAAGTGATTTGGCTAAAGCCATACAGGTGATAGACATTGGAATCCAGGTTTTCTGGATCTTAACCAACGCTCTTTTCCCATTGCCATGTGCCTCCCTCTTTTTTCAGGGTGCTATCACTTCGGGCACATGTAAGGAAATTTTACTAGCATATTCCATGGAAAGACTTCCTTATTAACGTACCATTAAGGTAGAGATTTAAGACAATTTATTTCTCTGTAAAAGGGGCCTTGAGTGAGGATGGTTTAGGATATTAAATCTGAAAATGAGCCTAAGATTTCCATATGAGAAATGATAAGGTGAGGAGGAGAAAGAGGACTGAGTGGTTGTTGTGTGGACATCAAGTGTCATCCCCACGGTTCTTAAGCAATTTTAGAAGAGGAAAAAGAATTATTCATGTCAGGGCCCCAATATGTCCAGCATCTATCTCTTCAGACAAGCCCACACATAATAGAGAAGAGCCCTGACTGAGTAAATTACACAAGTAACTGTTATGCTGGGAGATCCGTGATTGTAAATGTCTAATTGGTGAGCCTAAGACACAGCAGTGCTCCAGGTATGAAATGGTTATTCTAGTGGTTCTGAAGCAAACTATTACTTAGATCAATCAAGCAATTATTTTAAGGCCTATAAATTCTAAGTTTACTCACCTGCAGCTTCCAGCTCCAGGATTACAAATGGTATAAAAGAAAGATATGACACAATTGATAAGTAACGCATGAAGAGGAGGTCGAATTTTAACCTAATACCTTTCCTTCACGGCTGACATATGAGCCATGACAGAACAGCTTCTCAAACCATGAAAGGAAAGCATCAAAATGAAATTAACTTTCAGACAATGTGGGAGCATCCTGGTAAGGAAGAGTGAAACAAAGAGAGAAAGGACACAATTCAGTGGGGGGAGGGGGATCAGGAATAGGCCCAGCTACAAGAAAAGCTCCAAGGTTTCAGATTTTCTCACTAGTGAAATAGGAGTTATAAAATTCGTCTATCCTACTCCCAAAGTGAGATCCAACATGAGGGAACGGAAGTGAAATTACGTTTTATTGTAGTAAGTGTCATGAGCGCAGATTATTTTATAAACTATACAACTGGATTCAAGGCTGTAATGAACCAGACGCCATACATAAGAGAAAAACAAACGTGCTGTCCAAAGAAACCTGTTGGCCAAAGTGAGGGAAAAGTTGTTATAAAAAAATTCTGAAGCTACTTTTCACTAAGGTGATATTTGGAAGTATTTCCATAATCCATGTAGACATTAAATTATTTGACAAACATGCATACTACTTTGTCTTGGACATCTTTGATCAACCAGGGAAAGCCAGCTTTGTGGGTCTCCCCTCTCACCTTTTAGTTCACTCATCTTATAATGCATTGCCATATACATTTTGAAATCAACATTCTCGTGGCTTTTTAATTATTAAAAAAAAATTTCTCATGCTTTCTCAAAGAGATTAGATGTATAAAAAATTTTTTCCCCAACATTTTAAATCCGAGTCTCTTTGGAATAACTTGGGGCCCTGATGTGTATGTTTAGAGGCTTCTTTGGGGAAAGATGTTTCTAAATTTAATACATTTATCCATATCGATAAATTATACTTCACGGGAGAGAACCTACATGCATGAAGAGAATTGTCCTTTCTTAATAAAGAGGATTTAATTTTCTTATTTTTTTTATCACATTGTATGTATTTATTCATTTTTTTAAATCACACCTGAACGGGACATTGACTTCTCCACAATAAGGAGAGCTGTAAATACCCCTCGTTACGGAGACTGTACATACACAGCCTGTGGTTACGATACTTCACGGTGGCCTAGTGCTCTGTATTTTGGAGAAACTTTCAGAAAAGGACCTAACCACAGAGAGAAAGAGGCAGGAACACACTGGCTCAAATCACTGGGAGCCGACTCGATGGCAGGCATTTGGTTCCCAGTGGGATTTTCCCACTAACTGGCTCTTACCCTCTCTGGTTCAGTATTAAATATTCAAAGACTAATTTCCCTCTATTGGATGTGGGATCCCTAACTTGGGAGACAAATCCCCGGGAGCTGATGGGGACTGTCCTTGCCTGTGACGCCAGGCTTACTGGCTGCGCGCGCCCGGCGCTCTTACCGTCCAGGTGGCCGACTTGGCGGTGCTCGACTGCTGGAAGGACACGTCGAAGCTGTGCGGGCCCGGGTAGTCGGTGTTGGAGGGGATGGCTGGCGACGGCGAGAGGGCGTCGAAGGTGGAGCTGGGCTGCGCGTAGGGCGAGGGCGCCGTCACGCTGTTCTGCGCGTGGTCTGTGTTGTAGGGGCTGGTGGACGAAGAGCCGTTCTGGATCTGCTGGTCCATGCTGTTCAGGAGCCCCAGGTTCGTGTACTGCGGCTGCAAGGACACCCCGAAACCCCGATGTTAGCCTTTCCTGCAGATCGCGGCTCCAAAAAGGGCATCGTTTGGTGCGTGCATGGGACAGAGGTGACCTCACTTTAAAAACTCGTCCTGCTGTAAGTAAAATCTCCGATTTATGAATCACAGGGACACCAGAGAAGGCTGAAGCATGTGTGTGCTGTTACGACTTTCACAGATCACACAGCTTGTGTGGGGCCTTCGCAGACTGGTGTCCTTAAGAGCGTTTGAAAAAGCAAACATGCCCAGTGCCCAGAGCTTGGTTGCAGCTTTGGAATTCTTTAAAACACATGGATAAATACTATTTTTGATTTTTGTCTGGTAGAAAGGGGGTGAAGACCATGGCGGTTAAAATGAAAAAACAACTTGATATGTTCTTGAGGGAGTTTAAACATCAACTTGTTACACATGGAGAAATCAGAAGACCTTTCATATTTTCTGTTAGTCATAATTCTGAATTCTATCCTAGGATCCCAACAGCGTCCCCTGCACGCCTTGTACTAATTTCACAAAGACTGGAGGCGCTTGGGAGCAGGCCTTGGGACCCCCAACTGTACATTTCAAAAACTCACACACCCGTGCATTATCCAAACGTGGTCTGATTTTACCTGTTAGTCATTGTCTTCATAGTTCATTCTTTTCTAGAGTAGAACATGTATAATTAAGGGAAATACCCTTAGTGGGAATAAAATTCTAATTCAAAAGTGCATTCACTCGTGCAGCTTCCTCCATCAGATGCTTTTATACCTTTGGTGTGAGGGGGCCTGAGCACACAGTAAGTGCTCCATGGCATGCTCCTGGAAAGAACATGATAATTTCTTCCCATTTAACCTGTAAACTAACTTTACTACATTACTGGCCGAGAGGTAAAGCAGTTTGCCCTCTTATCAGCTAATACGCAGAGCAGGGGTTTTAAAATGAAATCTTCTGGTTCTGAGGTCAGGGCTCTGCCGTGCCAGCCCCCCTCCCCCACCGTCCTGATCAGATGGGTCAGGCTAGAGTCATGGGCATATTTCCAGAAGGGGCAACCAGCCTACAGGGACAGTTTTCCCTTTGTGAAACCTTCTGAAGCATGAAAATTTTCCTCTTTCTCATAGTTAATGAAGGAAGGGTGGGAATCCAAAGCAAGGGTGGGAGGTAGTCTTTTTGGTGTATATTTCAGAAAGGACACTGGCCTTCAATTGAAATAGAACTCAGAGAGACCCAGACTACGGGTCTATATTCTCCTATGGAAGACAAGTTACAAAGAAACAGGGGCTTGAAAAAAATTTTTTTTTAATTTTAAAACTTTAAATTTGTTACTTTATAAAACTTTAATATCGTTCACATGGGGAGAAAACCGGACCCTGCAATTCCATTCAGTCCAGAGAGCATCTGTCTAAATGTTACTAGTCGCCCGCCCATTCCATTCCGTCCATGCATTCGCATTCCACTGCTGCCGGCCACATCCCCATGTGCCCTTCAAATAACTATTAATCTCTTTACGCTTATCCCTGTGCTGACAAGAGCAGCTGTTGGTCTCGCCTTCTCTCCCCCTGACTTCTATGGCTCCTATCCTTCACCTCGCCTCCATCTCCAGCTTCTCTTCCTGACAGGTGTGGCAAACTGCAGGTAAGAACTGGAGGGGAAAAAGTAAACCTGAGGCCAGTACAAAGGCACCACACCCCTGGCTGAACTGAAGCTTGAGGTATCCAAGCCTGAGGCAATAGCCCGAGGAAGGGGATAGAAAAGATATTATTTGTGTTCAAGTTAAGGGTCAGTATACAAAGCACTCCTGAACGTCCTGTAGGGATCAGATAATGCTCCCAAAGGCACGTGCTTCTCTACAGCAGTACAATTAGGGAGGCAGCCATCCCTGACCAAGAGGACAAAGAAACTCTGAGCACTTTCTCTCTGGCAGTAAAATCCTGTTTGGCCCCCCGCATTCCCCCCCCCCTCCTTCTAGCTACACAGAAGGAACTTTAGCTAATTGTGGGCTTGGATGAGAACAAAGAAACATGGGCTCTTTGAATTTTTTTTTTTTATGCTACATATATAAAGAGAAAAGTTTTGGGACCCAGCTTTAAAAACTAATGAGCAAACATTCTTTAATTCTACAAGGACTTAAGCAAAAAGGGAATTCCACTGACTGAGAAAGTCACAAAGGAGACCCTGGGAATGGCAGCAAGACGACACAGATTGGGTGGCACCGAAAAAGCAGAAGAAAAAATGTACCCCAAAAGTTACTAATAGCACTGTGAGTGGTGACGGCCTACTTTCAAATGCCATAATTTCTCATTCTGTACCATTCTGGGTAAATTTTTGTACTTAGGAGCAACAGAACTTATTTCTAATTGCTAATGCCTCAATTAATATGCTATGAAGTGAGATTTCTCAGGATTAGTCAAAAGTCAGCTTACTTGATAGGTGAAACGGGGGAAAACACATTTCCATTTAAACTTTCTGAATTATACTTTAAAGAGATATAAGCCAAAAAGTATACTCAATTGTACTCAAAAAACACATAAAACCCACACTAACTTTATATCAGTTAGCTTAAAATGAACACAAAAACACACTTACCAAAGTAAGAATTTACTGAATGGAAATTGACTTCCTTTTCTTTGTTTATTAAAAACCAATAAATCCTAAGTTTGACATAGGAGACAGTTCTTCAGAAGTGAATTTGCAAACTATCTAGTTTAAAATAAATGTTCTTATCTGCTTATATCTTTGAATTGAAGAGGAAATGCTCATGTTAATAGTATAACGGGAGGCCAAAGGCAGCCCATTTTAGCCAAGGACAGGTGTTCCCAGGCAGGGCCAGCAAAGCCATCGTAGTACTTGGTATAAAATGCAAATGCAGGCTCTCTTGTTCATAGATTAGTAAGAATTTCAAAATGGTGGTAGGAGGGCATGAAATGAATTTGGGGCCCTATGTGATTGCCTGTACAGTTGGCATGCCCAGGAAGCTAGCTCCATCCTTGCTTGATGTATATGAGATCGCTTATTTTCCACCAAGTAAATCTGATAGGATAAAGGGTATGGTACCTGTTGTTTACAGTCAGTAATTCCATAAATACAGAGGGGAGAAACTGGTGTTATGCTGGGATGCTATTGCAACACTTACCAACAATGACAAGTAAAAGGGTTTCTGAGATTAGTCCATGACACTTTCATCTCTGCCATAAAAACTGCCCTTGGGGCTCAGCGCCTGTGGCTCAAGTGGCTAAGGCGCCAGCCACATACACCTACGGTGGAGAATTCAAATCCAGCCCGGGCCCACCAAACAACAATGACAGCTGGAACCAAAAAATAGCCGGGCATTGTGGCGGGTGCCTGTGGTCCCAGCTACTTGGGAGGCTGAGGCAGAAGACTCACTTAAGCCTAGGAGTTAGAGGTTGCTGTGAGCTGTGATGCCACAGTACTCTACCCAGGAGGACAGCTTGAGGCTCTGTCTCAAAACAAAACAAAACAAAACAAAACTGCCCTCAGAAGAACTCCATGGGGACCTATATATATATATGTCCCATGTGTTTTTTAAGTAACAAAAGTCATGAGCATATTTGAAATGAAATGAAATAGGAAGTAGATTCTCCCTTTCTGACAGCAAGTATCCTGATCTCAAAATAATATTAACATACTCTGCAGGAACTCAAGCAATGAGTGACTAAAAATTGTTACGTCTCTAACACATCAGGTGTGAGAAAGGAGCCAGTCCTCTTTCCACAAAACATCAAAGGGCAAAAATGAACTCAACTTGGGTGACATCCACTGTAATGCTGATAAAGTAAGATAATCAATTTCCTCTGATTTCCAAAAGATGCTTCATTTCCTATAAAATAACTGTGAAACAGAAAGCTCACAGTGTGGACACTGGAAAATCACCAACATCTGGAGTTGGAATACAGTCAGGTCCATCCCAGACTAGCTGATCTAAGCACAGAAAGGAGGCACCCTGTGGTCCCCGAGACTTAGGCACCATGTACTCAGGGAACACTCTAGGTGTACCTGGCACATGGAACGTGCGTACTGGGATACCAAAGACAAACTCAAATCATTTGTGTTCACCATGAACAAAGAACAAATATAACTCCCAATTCTCAAACATAGAGGTCTTTCCTTTTTTCTCCTTTTCCCGTAAGTTCTCTGCCATTCTCATAGGCATCTACAGGCTCTGATTTATCTGGATGCATAGAATTAAAATAGCCATATAGAAAACTAGATTTTCTCTCACTGGCCTTTTAAAAGTGTCCTAGGAATACCATCCCTGTAGTTTTATTTTGTTTTTCTTTCCTGGATTACATCCTTGTAATGGTCATATATTGTGAATAGATATTGAGTCTGAATTTTCTTTTTTGTGAGTTCAACAATGTATCAGTCTGTATTGCTGTAAACAAAGCTCAAATTAAACACCTGGGTTTGGTTTATATATAAAGTTGATGATGTAACTACTTTCCTATGAAAGAATTTTAACATCAAAAAAAAAAAAAAAAGGGATTCCAATCAAGTCATTGAACCAGTGCAATAAAAACAGGGACTTAAGTATAACTATATTTCTGAAAATCCCTCTCTACTAGTTTATCTGTATGAGAGAAGTTTTAGAATTCCCTTTTTTAGATACTGCTATCTGTAATAGCTAATTTAGGACAACACGGCAAAATAACTAATAACCTATGGCAAGAAGTTAATAAAAAATGGGAATGGGGAGAAGTTATGGTCAGGACATACAATCTTAATTTATTTATCTCAATTCAACTGACTCTTGTTATAAGAAATAGTACCTTCCCCAAATTTCATTTGGAAGGAATTATAATCCATGAGAGACAGTAAGATGGGGCTAGGGACTTGAACATTCTTCAGCCCGTCTAACATTCTTCTGTGGATGCTAGTAATGCCGAAGACTGAACCTCAGGTCTAAGTCTAAACACTTCCACTAAAACGCTGTGTACCACCGGGAAAGATAATTAATTGAACAACTTAGACCTTAGCCTCCTATG